CTGGAAATTGAAGTCCAATATTGACTTAGTACTGGACATTTACTTTCCTTTTGACTGGGGCACCTTTGTTTCATTCCTTTTTCATATGTCAAGCTAGTTTTCTCAGAATGTGTGTACAGGGCTCAAGGATAAGTGAGGGGCAGCTAGGGGGATTCAGAAGATGTCCCAGGTCAGACCCTCAGGAGAACCACARGCTCGAGCTGCCARTAAAGCCAAGTGATTGCTTTTTAGCTCTGGTGGGTTGTTGTCATTCAACTCCACGTACATGGGCTTTCTTGCTTTTAGATTAGCCAGATGGAAAAATTGCAAGTACTTGCAGCCAGCTAGTAGATCCATTGGCAGAAGGATTATGGAGATTATTATTTTTTATTTTATTTTTTACAGAGCTGGGGATCAAACCTAAGGCCTTGCACATGCTACACATCTGCTGTACCATGGAGCTATCCCTGCTGACCCCCATATTTWAAAAATTGTAGTAATAGATACATAACACAAAATTAGTTATTGTAAATATTTTAAAGTGAACGATTCAATGACCTTTAGTACAGTGCTGTGCAAGCGCCACCACTGTCTACTTCCAGAATGTTTTCATCACTCCAAAAGAAGATTCATTTTCTGTTAAGCAGTCACTCCCTAGTGTTCCCACCCTCTCCTGGGATTTGCCTATTTGTTGTATGTCATATCAATTCAGTTGTATAATCTGTAGCCTTTTGAGTCTGGCTTCTTTCACTTAACAGGTTTTCCAGGTTCATCCATGTTGTAGTGGGTGTCGATACTTCATTCCTTGTGGGGTTCTGAACGATACCCCATAGGATGGATAGACCACATTATGTTCTTCCTTTCACCTGCTGCTGGACATTTGGGTCGTTTCTACTTTTGACTAATGTGATTAGTGCTGTTACGGACATGTGTATACAAGTTTTTTTTGAGTAGATGTTTGTTTTCAGCATTTGGGAGTACATAGCTAGGAGTGGAATTGCTGGGTTATATGGTCATTTAGCATTAAACAGTTCCTCTTTTAGGAATTACAGATGCTTTCTACAATGGCAGGACAGTTTTCATGCCCACTAAACATGCTGGTTACTCCAAAATGAAAACAACAACAACAAAAAACCTTGATTGGATGATCTCTGGGCTCTTCATCTCTCAGGCCTGATCTCTTTTGTTCACATGTGTACTTGTTTATACTTTGTTTTATCCCGTGGAGGGTTTAAAGCTGGCAGGAGTGCTGATTTCTGTCTCCGTGTGGGCTCGTGAACCGTGCCAGGTCAGGGCCATTGTTGTACACATCTTCCTGCCCTTAATAAGAGATGCTTTGCACAGTGCCATCTGCACRACAAGTACTTGCTGGGGCTGGCTGTCTTTGGAAGGTGCTTGATAAGGGGTTGAATTGCAGAGGTGAGTTTGGAAAAATACAATTCTGCTCCAAAATGCTGGGCTGGGAACAAAACATTCAGTGCCTCCCCTTTTCAGGGCTCTGTGAAAAGAGAGTGAATGATGATAAGTAGATACATCCAGGTGGTCCAAATGGTCAGTGGGGGAGGAGATAGTTCAGCAGACCAGACACAGAGAACAAAGCCAGGCCTAAGTGGAAGAACCAGCCTGTCAGTCCCCACCTAAGGCTGCCAGGTTTAGCAAATAACAATACAGATGCCCAGTTGAATCAGATTTTCAGATGGGTATAGAGTTTTCGTTTTATAAGACAAAAAGTTAAAGAGATGGATGGTGGTGATAGTTGCCCAACATTATAAATGTAGTTAACATCGTTGAGCTGTACACTTAAAAGTAATTAAGAGGGGGTTAGGGGTGTAGCTCAATGGTACAACTAGGACGTTTGACAACCTGAGTTCTATCCCAGCATGGAAAAAAAAGTAGAGGGAGAACTTAAGAGGGTAAAACTTATGCTATGCACATTTTACCATGATTTAAAAAAATGGATAACAATTATATTTCATAAAAATAATGAGTAAGTTTTGGTATAGATGTATTCTATGAAATATTGTGGACACAGGGGTTCAGGAGAGGTGTCTCTTCCCTCCCTCCCTCCCTCCCTCCCTCCTTCTCTCCCATTCTCAGGCCTGCTTAGGGATTTTAAAGGACAGACTGACTGACCAGCTGGTGTCCCTAATGTCTTTTGTCATGATACTTTTAAGCCATGGCTCTGCTTTGAGAAAATGATCACCCTCGTGGGAGTAACTATTAAAAGAATAAATACTTTACCCAAGCTCCCCGTTCTCAAGATAAATATCACAGGAGTGACCTGAATTGTAAGAGGAACAGAAGAAAAAGAACAAGGGTTGTAATTTTTTTCTGAGGCACATCTGTGACAGGAGGTAGATTCAAGGACTTTTGAAAGAAGATGTCCGTGATCTGAGTTGGACCTTGAAGCTGACCCTGGGGTTTAATGCTCTCAGCCCGTCTGTCCTTGGATCTCTCACTGGGCAGCCAGGTTGGATGGAGGAAGATGTCTTTGTTGGCGGACCAGATGAGCAGGGATGACCGACTCTTGAAAACAGGGAATTTGAACTGATTCCCAGAGAAGGCCATCAGCTAACTGAGCCATTCATTAGCCCTGGGGGTTCTCTGTCACGGAGTCATGTTTGAGGGGGGTAGATATGACAGTCTAGTTGACTCACTATGAGCTGGCTTTGAACTGATGTTCTTTGTCCCTAACTTGAGCTGCAAACATGCTTGTAATTCAGGAGAATGCTTGGAAACATTCTACTTTTATTACAGATGGCKTGAGTTGAGTGGGTGGGTGCTAGTTTGTTGTTAGTTCATCCAAAGTAATGCAGGTTATATTGCTGTGTTTTCAGTTTAATCAAGCAGACAAATCAAAATTGACACTTTGAAAAAAAAAACCCAACCTTTAGTTTGCACTAACGGGAGCCAAGATATTTATGAGAATGATTTATTCACATTAGTATATTTTTATTAAGGACATTTATCTCTGCCCTGGACAGCTGTCCCTGGATTCTAGCATGTGATCACCAGTCCATGCCATCCTGCATATTAATTTTCTCTCCTCCCATCTCCACAGGAGGGGTTTCCCCACCCCAAGAGCATATTTCACTTCATTTGCTTTACCCCACCGTGTTCTCTGGGTGTGTGGCAGATACAGGTTCCAGCTACTGGCATTGAGAACACCCCGTGGTAGTTACTTAGTAAGGGATGGGACCTTCTTGTCCCTGTTGGGTATGGGCGGGGGTTGAGAAAATCCTGGCTGGTATCTTATTTTGAAGTGTGGCTGGCTGCTATACTTGGGGAAAGGCACAACAGGATTTAAATAACATTTTTCACTTAAGAAGCCAGGAGCCCCAAATCCACATTGGGCCTCGAACCGTGTGAATTTCAGGTTCTGCATCCTGTGCTGCCAGCCCTCCCTTTCAGCCCACTAATATGAAAATCAGAGCACCAGATGGGCTTTCCCAAGGAGAAACATCACAAGCCCACCCCCTGCCTCTTTCAAAATCAGCCCTGGCTGTTTATCATGAGATGTGGTTGTCATGGTGATGAGCAGCGCTCACTCGGGGGGAGGGAGTTAGAGGAAATGCTGTCATGAACGAGGTCAAGCCTAGGGAGGGCGCGCCATACAGTGGCCCRGCACCAGAGAGTTCCATGGGTGCGATGTGGGGGTGCAGACATCCAGCCAGTGCCCCCTGGCCTACCCATGAGCCTTGTCCTGAAGTCTCACAAAGGYGCAGTGGCTGGCCTGTTCCTAATCTTGTGGGGAGCCACAGTCTCACGTGGCTTCCTCCCTAGAGCTGGATAGAGTCTTTGGCCCTCCCTTTGCCTGAAAAATTAGATGCCACCCCCAGCTCTGGCATTTGTAAAAGGGGTATCATGAACCCAGTTTCATTTGCTGATTGGCAAGCTGGTTTCTTTGGGAGTTTTCTTGGAGATGGGTAGTTCCCTTTAGCCCTCAGTAAGGTAGCATCCAATAATTTAGGGTTTTTTAAAAAATRTGATATTAACCCTTTGGCATTGTTTGTGTGAATGTGTGAAGTATGGGCATTTCTCAAAAAATTTTAAAAAATTACARTGTGATCCAGTGATTCCACTTGTGTTTATATATCCAAAAGAATTGAAAGCAAGATTTGCAATAACATTTTCATGCCTGTGTTCATAGCAGTATCATTCACAGTAGCCAAGGGGTGGAAACAATTCAAGCATCCATTGATGGATGAGTATATAAACAAAGTTTGGTACATATACAYCATGGAATATTATGCAGCCTTAAAAAGGGAGGAAATTATGACACCTGATATAATATGGATGAATTTATTTTATTTTATTTTTTTAGTTATCAATGGACCTTTATTTTATTTATTATATGGGATGCTGAGAATTAAACCCAGTGCCTCACACATTCCAGGCAAGCATTCTAACACTGAGCCACAACTTCAGCCCCAGTATGAATGAACCTTGAGGGCAATATGCTAAATGACATAAGCTAGTCACAAGGGGATAAACACCATATGATCCCATTTTTCRGAGGTACTTGGAGTAGTGAAATTCAGAGGGGCAGAAAGTAGAGTGGTGATTGCCAGGAAGAAGGGGAGAAGGGCATGGGGAAGTGTTGTTTATTGGGCACAGAGTTTTCATTCTGTAAGGTGAAATGAGTCCTGGAAATGTATGTTGGAGATGTTTGCACAACAGTGTGAATGTACTCAATGCCCTTCAATCATACACTTAAAAATGGTTCAGTGGTGAATAATGTGACATGTATTTTATTACAATCAAAATAACAATAACCATAAAATTTTAAAACAATTTAAAAAAACTTTTGAGAAGTAGAAAGCATCTATATCAACTGCATTACACTTTAATTGAAGGTGTATGTAGGCACGTACACACTCGTACACATATACAACTGCATACCTGCAAATGCATGCATTTTGTAAAATTAAATCCCATCCAATACTCACGTTTTGTATCCTGGTTCATTTCTCTAACATAAAAATCTTTAACTTTACAATTTTTAACTTCCTGGTTTCTAGGTATGCAATGGTTTGGAGCAGCCGAGGAAGCAGCAGCGCTCTGATCTCAATGGGCCCATTGACAATAACAACATCCCAGAGGTAATTTTTTCCAAGGGTGAGAGTTCTGGGGCTGGGTCCTCATGATGGAGTTGCTGACCCCATCCATCACAGTTAACTCACTCTCGGTAAATTTCTTGTCTCACTCAGTACCTGGGGAGAGGGTTTTCAGGTCTAGCAAACTTGGGTAGGAAGAAGTAAGGGTGCTCTGGCCTGGGAGAAGAGAAGAAAGGGACTTCCTTGATGATTTGCAGTCACACCACAAAGTGTTCGAGTGCTGCTGATGGTGTGTGTGTGGGATCATTGATGCTCCCAGATCTTATAGGAACCCATTCTACCCTGTTCGATATACATGTTGAAATCTGTGTTTTGCACTAGTGGTACCATTCATTGGCTTTTAGAGGTAGTTTTGGGCCACTGTAGGTTTTTTAAAAGCATCACTGACCTCTATGCTCTAGATGCCAGTAGCTTCTACTCACTAGCCCAGTTTTGACAACTAAAAATGTCTCCAGCCATTGACAAATGTCCCTGGGGGAGAAAAATCATCCTGGTTGAGAACCATGGTTCTAATTCAAACAACATGGTTTAAAAAAATTATTCCATATAAAGTAGCCCTGCAATGTTGGAGGTTATTAAAATGAGCTCTTAAKCAAATTATCTCCCCTCTTTGGGTAGCATAATTTATATGAGATGTTCTAGATTTGAGGAAATAACTATGCCCCACCATGGAGTGGCATCCATTCTCTATTATCTTGCCTTTTAAAGACATGCTCAGAAAGTTCATATGCCCATCAGTTGGAGAGCCATTGGGTTGTATGGTCTCTGGGCTCCCTTCTAGCTGTTTCATGCTCATCTGAGGGTCCCTGAGTTTTAGAGGGTGTGCTTTAGTGTCTCTGCCAAGCATCATGCTGCCTGCATGAGACTAGCTTTCTACACAGAGCTGACTTCTTGGGAACACAGCCGCTCATGGGGTTAGGCTTTTCCTGGTATGGTACACATCTTAGCCTAGTTTCTATGGACCATCTGTTTGCAACTAGTGTATGTCTCATTTTTTCCTATTTCCTAACAGACAAAGAAGGTGGCATCATTTCCAAGTTTTGTGGCTGGTAAGTGACTTTGACTTTTGTCTCTCAGGGGCAGTTGCATTTTATGTCAAAACAAATGGTGCTTTTGTCCGTGCTTTTCTCCTGCAGAGCTTGTCTAGAAAGCTCCTTTTCCAGCAAGGTGCTTGAGCATTTGGTTCTTTGAGGGCTGCAGAAACTCTCATTGAGTGGGGAAGGGAGGTCCAGCCCATTTGCCTGCTTTGATGCAAGGAACAGTAGACCATTCATTTAATTACACCCTCATTAATTGTATCACAGATAACACCCATGCCTGAATTAATAGATTGAAATGTGTCTGTATAAGCAGCTAATTATGAACTGATGCTTTTTGATCAGGGTGGATGTAATGGCTTCCAAACCCAAGCTGTTGTTCTTTTTTTAAACCCTTCATTTCCCTTTCCCCGCCCTTGTGTTTTTGAGGAGGCTAATTGTACATGTTCACATTCGGTGAAGAACAAAACTGATTGATCTATTTTGTGTCACTTTTGTGTGTGTGTGTGTGTGTGTGTGTGTGTAGGGGACACCTGCTTGGCTGTTGATAAACCTGCCTTTGTGTGGGCTGCAGTGCATCAGGTGTCCCCACAGCCTCCTTTTGGGAGCTCCTGTGGGTTGCTTCTAGTGCTCCAACATCAGAGCAAAGAGCCTCTTAAGTAGGATCTTTCTCTGGACCAGGAGGAGGTCTCCTGCCCCTGCTACTGTGTTATAATAAGCAGTGGGATTTTATTAATTCTTTCAATAAGCTGGTAATTAATTCATATGAATATTTATGGGAGTCAAGTAATTGGTTTTCAAAATTAATGACTTTAAAACTTTTCCCCTCTTCTTTTTTAGTAAACAACTAAAGCCTGGGAAACTGAACACACCCACTCCCCAAATTACCCTTTAAAAAGGATTTGTTTGAACCAGGTTCAACCAGTTCTAACCAGTTTAAAATGAATCAATCAATTCAAACCAATTTTTTCCTATTATGACTGGCTAAATTGCTCAAATTGGATGAAAATCAGTTTGAAGTTGTCAGAATCAATACTTGGCATCCAAAGAGACTCGACTCCATTTTGATCAGTGCAAACAGGCTCAAATGTCTAGCAATGTACATGTGTTTTTAGGTACGTTTTTCTTGGTTCCAAATAGCTCGATCTCATCTTCATCAAGTCATAAGAGGTTATGAGAGTTCCAGGTCAACTGGTTAGTTGCAGTTTTCCAGGACCTAACAACCTGCAGGAAGAGACCCCATATCCCTGTGTCTCCCTGCAGTAGGGTTTGATTTGGTTCCTGATTTATAGCGGGCAACATCTCATAAGCAGCACATCTCTGCACCGTTTTCCCCAGTGGTCAGGAGCCAGGGTGGGTGTGCCCCAGCCCTGCTGCTCTAGTGAAATTAGGTCTATGGATCTAACAAGTTTTTTTTTTTTTCAATGAATAATGGCATCATTTGGAAAGAATCCCTTCAAACTGTCTGGGGAGATGATTTGGACATAAAACTTTTCTGGCTTCTAAACCAGTATTATACCTGCAAGAGAGAGGAGTAGAGAGCCATCTGGAAATAGTGTTAATRCCTATGAGGCCTGTCTCTAGCTTCTAAGCATTCTGGAAGACTCATTTCTCTGGACCACCTTAGACTCTTCCAGAGCAAATCAAAACAAGGCTGGATGCTTCAGATTCATTCACACTGTCTAAAATTGCTTATGACCAGCTCACACCAAAGTGAACCATCTTAATTTAGAATTGTTCCAGTGGGAGAGAAGCTCTAAAGTGACCTTAAGGAAAACTACATCCCTTTACGTTAGAAAATCCATATTCAGCAATGGACCCAAATCCTACTTAGCAATAGGAAGAGGGCATCATGGGATGATATAAGATCCTAGAATGTGAAAGGACATCCTGAAGTTAAGCACCTTGACCAGTTAGGAATGCATTTGGGCACCAAGTATCAAAACACCCAATCTTAGCTTGAATAAGCAGGGAGTTATGTGTCTAGCACAAAGAAGTCTATAGGTGAGTGGCTGCTCGTTCAGTGGCGTTATGATGTCAGGATTAGCATTTTTGCTTCATCTGGACTTGTCCTTAAGCTTGTCACCTCATCATAACACAATGTCTGGATAGCTACAGCTGTTATTTCCCGATCCAGGTAGGAAGAAGAGAGAAGGCCAAAGGTACAAACCAGCTGTATGGTCTTCCCCTTTGTATTAAGAAATCAAAGATTTACTATAGAAAAAGAATGAATGATTTTTTTTTTTTTTGCACGACAATCTGACTTTCCATATTTTTTTTTTTAGCCTGCTCCCCAAGTAACCTGGGAGGTAATTTTTTAACTATGTMACTAGGAAGCAATGATGACTCTGATTGGTAGACTGTATTTTTAGGGGGGAATTTTAATACTAAAGAAGTGTCAGAGATTTGGGCTTCGCACAGTGGCAGGCATGTCCCTTTGAGGGTATCCTGGAAGCTACATCAGAGAGTGATTATAAAGGATATTGGCTCCTGAGAATATGAAGCTCTAAAACTGGATGATTTTCACACATCTTCTTGATGGGCTTTTGAATCCTCATAGCCACCATCCAGGGATCCATTGAGATTAGCTGTGTGGACATGACATGGGCTTCTGTATAGATTCCTATAGAAGCGATTAGAGGCCAATTGCCTTCTGTCTTATTCCCTCTGGGTAAATGGCTCCATGACTGGATGGATATTGGAGAACTCCTGAATCTGAATGTTCAGCTGAATATTGAAAGACCTTGGAGATCTCTTCAGCACACTTCTCCTTATCTCTCTTCAGCCAGAGCTATGTCACCAGACGGCTCACAAATTTTAGTGTTGGCTAGAGGCTCAAGTGGTTTTCCATGAAGGAGGGGAGACTGTCTGGGAATGAGAGTTGAGTGAGCAAGCCCTCGGGTGTCTTCTGCAACACCTGTTTCAGGTGATGAGCATTTCAAACCCCTGTGGCTATTTAGTCCTGAGATGTACCATCATAAGAACTGGGAAGAGCCCATGTGAATACAGCAGAGAAGTGGGCTTTCCACCACACCCTTGTCTGAGAAGTTGCCCGGAGGAAGCTTTCCTGGAGTACTAATGAGGGACAGCCTCTGACCAGCCCCCCCCCAATCTATGCCTCATTTCAGATTAGATAGCTTTGCATGATAATTAAAACCAACACCTACAATTAAAGTGAGAGCATCTTCATCTTAACATGTATAGGGCTTAGTGTTTCAGATGCTGTCTGTGTGCCAGATCTATCACCTGTCRCCTGCCCAATCACCATATGAGGAGTAGATACTTTCCACCACACATTATAGGTTCGAAAATTGGGGCACAGTGAGGTTAAAGTCACTCATCTGATGTCCCATAGCTGATGAAGGGTAGGACCTAGACTTGGACCCACATTGTCAACGTAACTTCTTAGCTGGGAACATAGCTCAGTGATAGAGTATGTGCTGAGCATAGGCAAGATCCTGGGTTCCATCCCCATGACCTAAACTGATAAAACCAATTGGTAAAACCTATCAGCTACTTATTTTGAGCCAGTTATCACCTAAGGGTTTTAAATATATCAACTCATTGATCTCTGGAATAACAGTAAGCGGTAGGGGCTGGTGTCGATGAGGAAACAGAGGCTCAGCAAGGATAAGTTGAGGACTTGAGGTTGCCAGGTAGTGAGTGGCAGAGCTGGGATTGGGACTCACGCTCAGGTCTCAGGTCATCACCCCCACTCCATACGGCCTCAGCAATCTTCAGCTGCAGCTGGAAGGAGAAGMCTTAGCTTAGAGAAGACACACCATTCATATTCCCAGGAGTTCTCTGGAGGAGAACGTTCCAGACATCAGAGTTCTTGGACCCTCTCTTTCCCAGAGGCACAGCCCTCTTTCACCAGAGGCATTCCCAGGAACCACCCCCCTGCCCCATGGAAAATGCTTGGAGTCAGGTGACCCTCTGAGACCAGGAAGGTTCATACTGCAGAGAAAATCTCTTTGGAAAGTGATAACTGCACACAGGACTCACTGCCTCGCGATGGGGAAGAATCCAGAAGTGTCGTGGGAGGACGGGCACTCTCAGGATGTCCCCTGCTGCTGGATATGGTGGCTGGCCACAGCATAAGTCCCAGGGGGGCTGAGGGTCCTCACCTCTGAGCAAATATATGTAAAAGTCTAACTTTTCTATAAAGGTAGACATGTGCTTTTTAAAACCAAAAGGCTGGTATTGGTCCCAAGCAATAGAACTTAACAATGGCAATTTTAGTAAAAAATAGCAAAGACCACTAAATCATGTTCTGTCCCTTACAATTGGGCTCCTCTCAATCTAACAGGCAAAGCTCATGCGAGATGTCCTGAAACCCACCACCCAACCCACAGCTGTATGCTACTACCTACAGGGCTTCCAGCAGCCCTGGGGTCTTAACGCTCTCAGTATAACCTGTCGACTTTCCACGCCTATATCGTGGCCACCTGGAAGAATGGGCACCCCAGTCACTGGAACTTCTGGGCCTGGGGCTGAGGTCGCCCCTCCTACCRTCCTTCTCTCAGAGATCCCCACTGTGATAAAGCCATCCTCTTGGTTTCACAAAATGGGTGCTTAGGAGTAGAGACTTGGTTTCTTTCCTTAAAATAAGCAACTGGAGCAAACCTGTTCAGAAACAACCCCTAATTTGAAGACACCTCATGCCTCCTCCTCTTCTGTGACGCCAGGACTCCTGAGCTGATATGGCTTTGGGATGCTATTGGCTGGAGGACAGGGTTAAGGTGATCTGTGGGATGAGAGAGACACGGAAATTCCAAAGAGGGGTTTATGAAAAGTAAAATGACTTTCCATTTTTGCAAACAAGGTGATTTTTTTTTCTCTAGTACTCTGTGCTGTCTGAAGAAGAAGGATTAGATATATTTTATAATAGGAACTTTTATTCACAGGTAGAGATTTTTAAAGATTTTGAAAAAAAATAATGCTTGGATCAGATCAAGAGTCACAGAGGCAAAAATGAATTCTACCCTGGAAATCCCCATGAAATGTCCTCC